TTTGCATGGGTGGTTTTGGGGTGAGTCCCCCTTATGCCAGATAAATAGTTTTTTGAATCTTACTCAAGAATCTTGTGTCATAAATTGAATAAACGGGAAGTAGACTTGACTCGACTAGCTCCCCTTCAGCTATTTTTCAGCCATATATTATTATCCTTAGGGACGACGTCAAAATATCGATGTCGGATAAAAAACTTAATTCCTTTAGTTTTTTTCCAAACCCCCCTACCCCCCACTGAAACTTAATTGATAAATATTGGTCATGGCGTCAAGACTACATTTACCATTAAATACAAATTGATAATCGGACAGTAGTATTGCATAGACGTTGGTTGTCGGGTGGGTGTAAAAAGATTTTTCAAATGCACCTCATTTGACGCACAGATTTACTCTCGAACCAAACCATTTTTCTGTTTTTTTTCCTTTTCAGTTATTTCTGTCCATGATTGGATAGGAAAAAAAAACGAACTACAAATACTCCAAGATGTTTTTGACTTCATTAAAAAATAAAATCGTTTTTGTAGGATGGAAACTTTTTGAGGTCAAAACCCCCCACCCCCAAACTAAAGAAAATAAGTTTTTTATCCTGACATCGATCTTTTGACGTCGTCCCTTATTACCGGTAGTATTAGTATTATGATTAAAATTATGAATATAATTAATTTTAATGTAAAATTAGCTTTCAACTATTGCATGTATTATACAAATATATCTCAAATAATCTTATTATTATCATTATTATTATTAATTGTGATACTGGTGAGACACCAACTCAAAATATCTACATGGCTTGATAGCAGATCTGGTTATAATCGGAGACTAAATTTTTCCACCTAACATCATGTAAATTCTATGTGTTATCCCGCTAGTACTCAACACTGAGATTGTCAGTGAAAATTCTTCAGCTGTGTATTTATTTTGTCAAACAACCTTTATTAGCAGAAATATGGTAGGACAGGGGATATTTGAGGTATTGTCAAGGGAAGATATCCAGGTATTTCACCGCCTGACAACCATCACGGAGAAAACAAATGCTGAAAACTCTCAGAAAACTGCATTTTGGGATATTTGTCGAGCCTCATGAACAGTGTATACAATATTATCCCTATATGTGCAAGATATATAATTTTGGTTTGTGCTGTTATCTTGACTTTAGCTTTTTCAGTTTTCACAGCAGCTCATGTAGAACCCATAGCAATACATGGTAGAGTGGTGCACGTCTTAGCAACGTATAACTTTCTGTGACATAGTGATGCCCCTAAGAATAAACAATACTATACACACTCACCATTTGTAGAGCTTTGCAGCACAAAGCACATTGTATCATAAATGGCAGGATCTGTTTTCAATACAGACAACCAGTAACTAGCAGCAGTACTGTTAGATATGCATGAATATATCAACCGCGTTGTTTCTACTAATGTAGGTGGGTCTGTGCATTCTAATAATGCTAATACAACTTCTCTGGAATTGTAGAAAAAATTATCATAATTGTATGAATACGGAAGTAGTTTTGTTAAAATACATTATGTATACCTCTGAAGCTGTGACTTGCTAAGTACATTTGTGAGTGCATACGTACATATGTAAATTACATGATTTATGAAAATGAAATATTAATTTACAGTACATTGGTGTATTTTAGAGTCCTCACAATAATACATTATTGCATATTTGGCAGAAAAAAAAAAAACATACTTAAATTAGCAGTTCATAAAAAACTGTTTGAGTTCAAAAGCAAAGCAGACATCATCCTTATTTGGAAAATATGCCTCCGAATTGCAAAAATGTCAACTTTTTTATTTGTTTACCAAATTTTGTAAAATGCTTTTCACAAGTACAGACTGCTATATCTACACATTGGTCAACACATATGCAAAGGTAGTCACGTACAGTACGTACTAATCTCCAATTAATACATCTAGTACA